TAAGCCATTTAGTGGCATTATATGAAATCGTTGAAGAACAAGTAGAGAATGGAGTAATAAAATATATAGATGACAAATATAAGTCTCCATTAACGCCTGAATTAGAACAAGAGATTTTTGCATCATTAGATTTTGAATTTCTTCAAAGGCAATTTTTGGAAATGGAAAATGAAATGACAAAAATTCCTGCAGAAGATTTTGTATCGGCATTAAAGAGGTTTATGCTAAGATTCTTATCGGTAGATTCGAATAAAGATAATGAACCATTATCATTATATTTTGGAGATCCATCATTGAACTTGTGGGCTTCTTGGATTAGTGAAGAATTAGTTGACAATTGTTTTCCGGAAAGTCTATTGGTTAAACACACCTTTGAAGCTTTCATGCTTGTTTCTGCTCGGGTTGAGGTAAGAACTAGAATTACATTAATCAGAATATTTTAATATTCTTGTTGCTATTAATCATTAAACTATTTATTTTGAATAAACTATAGACAATTAAAAAACAAATGCCTTCTGTAACAAAAACGGTAGCAATTGCCAGTCCACCAATAACAAAAGTTGTTACTACTAAAAAAGCACCTAAAACCAAAGCAAAATCCACTAGTACTTTATTTGCAACTAGAAAATCAAGGTCTAATATTTCAAGTTCTAATGAAACAAAGAATTTAGGAGCAGCAACTTCAAAAACGCAATTAACAAAGACATCTACTTCTCAAAAGAAAGTTATTGTAAAAAAGGGATAGATATTTTTAATTGGGAAAACCTAGGATAATCACATGACTAAAGTGTTTAAATAAAGGGAAATGCTACAGACACAGCAACACATGATTTATCTCTCTTATCGACACAGCAATGATCGACATAAGCACCCCAAATTTTTGACCAATTAAATATTATAAGCTATCGCTATATCGATATACTTTTTAAATAATACAGTAATACGAAAAGTGCCAAATATACTGTATAATACGTATACTCATTGTGTAAATAATAATTGGTCATAAAAATTTTACTATTGCAGTTATGATAACATTTATTTTTCATACTTGGAATATAACAAAAACCATGCGAACGTCTTAATTTATAATGCCAGACCTCTTTTAGTATAAGTAACCTATTAATACGATATATTGTTCATTAATTATTGATTATAGGGTAGAGTTACCTACATTAGAAGAGGTCTGTAAATGCTCTTTATAAATGTACCCAACATTTCAATTATACAAATAGTGATAAGACCTCTTGAATTATTAATGATTAATAATTAATTATGTTAGTAAATAATTATTGTCTAAAAGATAGACGTCACAGTAAATCGATTAAAACTATACTATTATGTCTAATTTGTATATTAATAAAGAATATAAAATCTATAATCAAAGATATCTGCATATTGAAATAATTTCTTCGTTTAGAATCAAAAATCTTTATATGTTAAACTAATTTCTTCAATGTTAATAATTAATTTTCAGAAATTCAGAATTTTTTAGAGTTTGCATTCTATTAGTATACAATTGAAATAATTATATAAAGTAAATGCGATCACTATGAATTTAATATTTGTTCTTATTAGAAACCCGAAGGTTCTATCATTATACATAGTATATATAATAAAATTCCTAGTGAAAAGATAGATTTATGCAAACAATTTTGACCAGTAGTCTTCAAGACCATATTTGCGACAAATTGGTATATGTTGAACATTAACTACTGGCCAATTAACTTTCGCATAACTTTTCATACTTATATATATAATATGGTTTTCATTTATAAAGTGTAAGATAATAGGATTTCTTCTATGTACTGGTGGCATTTCCAATGGAAAGAACAACATACTTTGTTCATTTATCTCATCAAAAATAGCAATGGGAACTGAGAAAGTGTTGGCAGCTAATTGAGCACAATCAGGTGACAAAAACCAAAGTGAAATATGGCAAGGTGATGCTCGAGACTCTAATATCTGTTTAAGTAGGTCAGTATTATAACCTAACCAATTCTTGTAAACTTCTATTCGCTTATTCAATTGATTATTCATTGCCAATTTAATAAGATC